TGAAAGATGATATATCATGAGCTTTGTAATGTTTTGAACAACCAATAAAATATATATATAAAAGGGGGTTTAGAGCCATGTACCACAAACGCTCAGCTTTTAATCTTTTAATGTGAGGAATCATATTAATTGGCTTTCTAAGGTTAGTTTCGCATCCAAATTGAAGATTTTGCTTGCAAGCGTGTGCATACAAATAAATGTTATTTTGTAATATTTTTGCATTTATAAGGAAAACTTATCCACGATTTTCTTTTACCAGTCATTATTGATGTACTTTCTATGTTCCAGACACTATTATAAGCCCATTATTAAATTATCTTATTTGATACTCAGGATTACAAATGGGGACACCAACATTCCTAAAGTAAAACTATTTTGCTTAGATTCATACTGTTAGTAAATACTAAGGCTGAGAATCAAGCACATCTCTCTGAATGTAAAGCCTATTTATATAAACTCTATGATAAAAGAGACACACACATAGCAAAACTCCAATGGGTATTAACAGTGGTTATCATTGTGTGATGAAATAATAGATCACTTTCTAATTTATGAACTTTCTTATATTGCAAGTTTTACATGCAATTTTTATGATGAAATAGTCACATAAAAGCAATACAAGCCTGTGAAGAATGAAAACTGAACTGACTTTGATTCCAAAATTATGTAAAATCATGCATAAATATTCATCAAGAGTCCTCAAAACAATGAAAAAAATGATAATCTGAAAACAGAGATATAATTACTTCAAAAATTGCATGGAATGAAATACTTCTGAAAAGAGTATAGATCTGATAATGGATATAATAATGATAAAAATAATACAATAGGGAATTAGATTGGGATTTAAATCATAGTTCTGTAACTTGCCATATTTCTAACCTTAGTCTAATTATTCCCATTGAGACTCATTTGTTTCCAGTATAAACTAGAGAAAATAAGACTAATTAATTAGCAAACACACTATCTTAATAAATCAGGTACCTAAAGAACCTAGAACACAAATGTTCAATACTCTTACTATTTACATTGCTTTTATTTCTTGAAAACAGTTATTCACAGTAGTTCTTTCATTATGTGAGTTGCATTTATTTTCATGTGAGAATGCCTTCTTTTTACATATGTTCAAATGCCTTCTTTCAACAACAGAAGGACTTAACATGTTAATGCCCTAAGATTTAAATAACACTTAGAATTATGTCCAGAAGATGTTTTCATTGTTTTCTGAAATAGAAGTCAGAGAAATAGAAAAGAGTARTTAGTCTTCAAAATTGATGAAAAATTATTGCATAATTATAATTAACATGTTGATGACTTCAGATCATAGAATCTGCACTGCAACAGCTGGAATCCAAGCCCACTGAAGTAGAAGAATTTGTGGAACACTTCACTTTTTTGGAAGCGATTTCATCCAAAATATTTCAATTAGAAGATGAGTACTTAACAATTAATCAGTTGTATTCTGTTGTGAGATATTACCATTTATATATTTCAGAAGAGCAAATTGCCATATATAAAATTCTTTTTGGCAAGTTTCGTCAACTAAAAACAACTATAAAGTTAAATAAAACAAACAGGGAGGCTGCCATAACAAAATTCAGGGAAAAATTGGAAGCAAAAATTGCTGGTCTACGAGTGGACGTTAGTAATTTAAAAGCCAACGTAAGTTTTTTGTTTTTTCTCACCAAAAACTTGATCTTCCCTTACTATGCATATTTGCTTTCTGTGGTATCATAACTAAAAAATTTTAATCCAGTATTCTTAACCTGGGATTACAGAATGTTAGTAATATGTGAACTTCAATGGGAAATAAAATTATATCTCTATTTTCAGTAACCTCTAACTGGAATTTAGCATTTTCTTCATCTATGAATGAATGTAGGCAACCATCAGCAGCAGAGCTGCTAACTTACCAGAGGCTTCAAGAGTCCCAAAGGAACCTTTAGCATAAAAAAAAAGGGCTAAACCCCCGAAACCTTTTTAGGTCTTTGCCTGAGCCTAATGTAATGATAGTTCCAACATAACTTATCATGTTAGATCTTGGATTATATACTARTGTAATTGTCAGCAAAATGTGTAATTTCTGAATGTTTTGGTTTCTGAGAATGTCTGACTATTGTTGTTTTTTAGATAGGAACTCCTGTTCTGTTTTTTATTGGTACTCRAGTGCAAATGGCAATGGAAATGATTCGGACTTTCTCAGAGGAAGCTGCAAGTTTGGTTAACAAAATTAAAACCTACTCAAGCTATCAGGATCATTTTGACGATCACCAATATCATATGCATTCTCTTAATATGGAAGAAATTACAAATATTGTGCTCTCAGAAATCTCTGACATTGAATGTGACTTAAGTTTGAGGAAAATGTTATGGGAAGCACAAGACGAATGGGAAAAGTACTTTTGGGAATGGAGGAAGTGTTCTCTTCAAAGTATTGATGTAGAATTAGTACAGAGAACTATTACAAAATTGCTGAATATAATCATTGTACTAGAAAAAGGTAAAAATGTGTTTCTCAAATTTTCTCACTCACCTAGGATTACATAAAATATGGCCTCTGGGCAATGTAATCATTGTCTTTGGTTGACCATTATGGCTAGAGGAACAATATAGTAGTTTAGGTAGGAATTATTTGCTGAAACAAGAGATTAAAGCTTTGCCAATAATAATAAKAAGAAGTAATAACAAACTTTGTCTCCTTTAAAAGTTGATACTACATGAAAATCCAGGGAACCAGTAGAGTAGAGGAAAGGAGCTAGGTGGAGAGCAGAAGAGAGAAAAGGGGAAAATACTGGAGAATAATATTGGACAAAAAATATATTGTTATATTGTGTACATGTATGAATTTGCAACAATGAACCCCACCATTATGTATAATTATAATGCACCAATAAGAACATTAAAGAGTTTTTTAATAAAGTAAACAAAAGTCAATTCTGTGGTAGAACTCCAGACACTTGACTCAGATTCTAACTCTTGCTAGAGTATTGTCCAGAGTTATTTTAATGATAGAGGCCCACCTTCAGAATCTTTACCCAAATTCTCTTCTATGCCTATGGTATCCTTTGGGCAGTGTGGGAAACAGCTAAAAAGTCATTCTGAGAGGTTTCCCTGGTGCTAATCATCAAATTTGAAATTTTGCCAATGGAGAGAGACTCTTTCTGAGAGGATTCTATAAGATCATATCCTTTCCAGGAGGAAAGTTTTGTTTCACCTAGCCAAGAGATTGTTTTGTTTTTGTTAGACTCCTAGCTTATCAYTCAGCAAAACCAAAAAACAAAAACAAAAACAAAAAACCCTGAACAAACAATACAAAATTTTATTTTGCTTGTCCCTAAACTATAGAAGAAATAAAGCTATCACAAATTTTTTAGAAAAAAGAACAACTAGCTGCACATCAGTCTCACTGCTTTAAAATAATACTCATTGTGTGCATTCTCAATGTTTTGCTATGTACATGTCTCAGAGAACAATATATGAATTAACAAGTAGACAACACATTCCTATAGCCATAGTTTCACAGAAATAATATTGTTGTTTGCCAAAGTTGAAACTGGCAAAATCTAAAGTTTGCTTGTTCTTTCTGTCTCTCCTTTTCATTTTTATTTATTTAGTCATACATGATGGTAAAATCAATTATGATATAATTATACAAGCATAGAATATACCTTATTCTAATTAGTGGGTGTGCATGATGGTGGAATTCATTTCAATATTTTCACATATGTACACAGGAAAATTATTCACTCTACTGTCTTTTTTTTTTTTTTCTGGGTACCAGGGATTGAACCCAGGGGCCTTACCCACTGAACCACATGCCCAGCCCTTTTCATATTTTATTTAAAGATTAGGTCTTGCTGAGTTGCTTAAGACCTCACTAAGTTGCTGAARCTGGCTTTGCATTCACTATCTTCCTGTCTCAGCCTCCCAAGCYGCTGGGATTACAGATATGTGTCACCACACCTAGTTCTACTGCCTTTTCTATTCCTATCTCCCCTCCCTTCCCTTCATTCTATTTGTCTAATCTACCAAACTTCTCTTTTCCCTCACCCTTTATTGTGGCTTTAGCTTCTACATATAAGCAAAAAACATTTGACCTTTGGATTTGGGGGACTGGCTTATTTCACTTAGCATGATAGTCTCCAGATCTATCCATTTACTGGAAAATGCCATAATTTCATTTTTCTTTATGACTGTGTGTGTATGTGTTGTGTGTGTGTGTGTGTGTGTGTGTGTGTATAATGTGATGTGTGTGTTTCTATTTCACATTTTCTTTTTTCAATATTTAATTTTTAGTTATAGTTGGATACAATACTTTTATTTCACTTATAAATAAGTGAAGATCAAACCCAGGGTCTCACACATGTGAGGCGAGCGCGCTACTGCTGAGTCACAACCCCAGCCCATGTATAACACATTTTCTTTATCCATTTATCCGTTGAGGGGCACTTAGGCTGGTTCCATAGCATAGCTATTGTGAATTGAGCTTCTATAAACATTGATGTGACTGCATCACTGYTGTATGCTGATTTTAAGTCTTTTGGATATATATACTAAGGAGTAGGATAACTGGGTCAAATGCTGGTTCCATTCCAATTTTTTTTGAGGAATCTCCATACTGCTTTCTATAGTGGTTGCATCAATTTGCAGTATCACCAGCCCTGTATGAGTGTACCTTTTCCTCCACATCCTCACCAACATTTATTGTAAGTTGTATTCTTGATAACTGTCATTTTGACTGGAGTGAGGTGGAATCTCATTGTAGTTTTAATTTGCATTTCTCTAATTGCTAGATATGTTGAACATGAACTAAACAGACACTTCTCAGAGGAAGAAATACAAAAGTTGTCAAATATAAAATTCTTCTCTTGATCTCCTATTTAACCAGGTCTTGTAAAACATTTTACTATTCAGTGTAGGTTTATAGAAGAAGCTCCATCTGTACAAATTTGTTTTTTAAGATTATTGGTATAGTTTTAGTTTTTCAGGGTCCCCAACTTGGGCTGTTTCTCTATTGCCTCCCCATTTCTTTTATATGTTGAGTAAAAGGTTATAAGAGATGAACCTTCAACTGCTTAGGCTTTGAGTCCTGTACCTCAGTTGTTTTCAAGGACCAACCAATGATGACATATGAACAAGTCATCACCTACATTTCAGTGTTAAAATATTTTCTTTGTGAAATAATAGAAATGGTGGATTTTTTTTCCCCCTCGACGTTCTTCTTTATTTAGAAAATTTTCAAAGTCCCCARACCTTCTGAATGTCCATTTTTGTTCCATCTGTATATCTATCTTGTCAGTAAAAATCTGGGAAATCCTGTGGTAGTGGGCATCCTTCTTATCACATTTCCAAGGTAAGTTGGCTCTGATAGTYTTAGGTTTTAGTTACTATTCTTGACAACCATTTCTCTTTATTTTAATCCATAATTGATTCATATGGAAGKGTAATGTTAAAGGCCATTATCTTATATTATAATGCAGACACAAAACTGATAGAGTAGTATTACATTAAATTAGCAAATCTTAAAGGGAAATTTTTATTTTTTAAATTCATTTGGTTAAAAAATATGAACATAAACATATTGAAGCCTACCGATTTTTATTGTTATTTATAGGTTTACCTARAAATGATTTGTTAACACATCTTAAGCAATCAGTGATGGATTTTAAASAACATCTACCAATCATCACAGCACTGGGAAACCCGTGTCTCAAGCAGAGGCACTGGGAGGCTCTCCAGGAGATTATTGGAAAATCAATTAAYCTAGATAAAAACTGTACTGTGGAGAATCTTCTAAGCCTCAAGGTAAATATAGTTGGAAAGCAATAGAATTAAATCCTAGAGCAGCCAATTGTAAGTAGGCAAGTAAATCTATAAGGAATTGGAATTAGAAAAGATAAAAGTGTATAACATGTCTGGGAAAATAGTAGATAATATATGATAGGATCTTATGTATAATTGGAAGTAGTGGGTAAGCTATTCATTTATGCTGTTGTTATCTAAATGATTAGAAAATAGTAATACTGGTTCTCATATGTGACAAATTCAATAATTTAAGAATGCTACTTCTTTTATTTATTTATTTTTTTATTGTTGGTCGTTCAAAACATTACATAGTTTTTAATACATCATATTTCACAATTTGATTCAAGTGGGTTATGAACTCCCAATTATACCCCATATACAGATTGCTGAATGACATCAGTTACCCTTCCATTGATTGACAAATTGCCTTTCTAGTGTCTGATGTATTCTGCTGTCTGTTCTATTCTCTACCATCCCCCCTCCCCTCCCCTCCCCTCCCCTCCCCTTTTCTCTCTCTACCCCTTCTACTGTAAATCATTTCTTCGATTTGTATTATCTTGTCTTACCCCTCCTTTCCTCTTATATGTCCTTATGTATTAAAAAATGACAAAATCATAGAATTTKGAGGGAAATGGATGGCATTAGAGCAGATTATGCTAAGTGAAGCTAGYCAATCTTTAAAAAACAAATACCAAATGACYCCTTTGATATAAGGGGWGTAAACAAGGACAGGGTAGGGACGAAGAACTTGAGAAGAAGATGTACATTAAACAGGGATGAGAGGTGGGAGGGAAAGGGAGTGAGAAGGGAAATCGCATGGAAATGGAAGGCGATCCTCAGGGTTATACATAATGCTACTTCTTATAGAACAGAAATTTATACATTTATAGGAATCGAAAAATCAAAAGTACTGCATCTGATTTTATATAACATGTAAGTATATCAAGAGTATTAGGATGGCACTACCWATAATTTGATATTATATGTGAAATGTCTAGTTAGCAATAACTTGATTTGCCACAAAATTATGATTTTTTTCAGTTTTTTGGAGGTAAAAAGTTTTCTATTTTCTTTCCTAAGTTATAATATGCTTCTTTTATGTTTAAAGTATACATACTATAATCAAACCCAGCATTGCATCTATAATTCTATTGCATAGAAGAACATGGGGAATATTTTAAGGAATTTAAAAAGAAGAATTTTTAAAGATAACTTTGACTTTTAAAATTAGTTTATATTTCCAGTCCTAATCTAAACCTCTCTCCTGAACTCCAGACTTGTATATCCAATTTTTCTATTGACTTCTCTAAGAGATATCTCAAAATTAACCTGTCGTAAATTTTACWTTTTATTCTCCATCTCCCCAATTCGACTTTTCCTTGGTCAGCATTTCCATCCCAGCTAATGGCAGCTCCATTCTTCCAACTACTTACACCAAAAATCATGAAGTAATTATTAAATCTTCTCTTGCTCTTCTACTCTGCTTCCTATCTGAATCTATCATACTTTCTTATTGCTCTAGCCTCCTAAACAATCTATATGCCAAAGATAAATTCAGTCAGATATCTAGATAATTGCAGAACATTCAGGGTCAATGCCAACAGGGGAATCCTCAGACCACCATGCTGAAAATAAAGCACAATTTCATTGACAGTTTCATTTTCAAAGGCTTGGATTAATGGAACTATAACTGGGCAAGTTAAGTTGAGGGTAAGAATTTATAAAACTGAGAGAAGCAGCAAAAATAAAATTAGGCTAGACAGAGATAGGAGCAGCAGGAGGCTTACATGGGATTGGTGGCCTATAATATCCCAGAGGGCTCCAGTGAGCTATCCTCACCTTTCTAACTTGAATGGTTAGCTTCAAAGGGATATCCTTTGCAGTCTGGGGAGGGTCCAAATTAGTTGAACAGGACATCTGAACAAAAAAGAACATATTCTCAACCCTAAAGTACTGTGTAGCCAGGCACTAAAGGAACTCTTCTTCTTAAAGTGAACTATAATAATAGAGGGAATGAAGTGGCCATCAGCAGGCAACCTCAACTGAACTCTGAGAGTTCCTGGATGGTTTGGGTAATSCTGTAGAAATTGAACAATTTATCAAATATCTATAGGTGCATAGATGGACAGGGTTTGGCCTAGAAACTCATCCCTAATTTTTTAAAACCTGAGTTTCTTGGGGTTGACCCAGAGATAATAGTCATGCAGCCAAACTTTCTAGGATAGGTCCTAATCCTGTCAATATCATGATATCATATGACAACCATTCTGTCCAAGATGTCATACAAGCTCTGAGAAGCCAATCACATGAAAATATGTCATAAAGTTAAGAGAAAGAGGTCAATGGTTTACATAAATGAACATTATCTCTTTATGATTAATCATTTCCACTTTAGAAAGCTTTGTGTTTTATAATAGAGGTAGATGGTGCCACAACATGCAACTAAGTTATTCAGAGTCACTCCAGGTGAACTTGGGTTGGCACGAAATAACTACACTAAGACAGAGAAAATAACTTTTCCTTGGTATTCTTCAGAGATGGCTCCTCTACTCTAGCTCCCACAAGGGAGGCAGAAAAAAAGAGGAGGAAGATGCTCTGAAGCCCCTTTTTATTGAGGGGAAGACACTGGAGAAAGTTCCACCCTAATGAGAGAGGTCAGGTTTCAAGGGATTGAGTCTAGCTTCATGATGTCTTATAGTCAGCAGATTGACATCTTGGAAGGCCACACCCATCTCAGGTGCTGTGTGGGGATCATAGGCAGAGCAAGCGAAAAGGACACATATATCGCCAGCCCAAACAGAGAGGCAACATCAGTCCAGTCCATAAATATACTCATGCTCATAGTTCACACATACAGCCCATAGCTGGTTCACCACAAGATGGTTCATTGTAAGCATTAAGATTCATCTGAAACTTCTCAGATTCTTCTAATAGGAAAACAAAACTATTTGTCAATCAGTTTCCAAACTTTTGACTATAAAAACTTAGCAGTGTTAGATTCACTTGGTTGAAATTTTGCCTTACATGATCAATATCTGGATTTAGTTTTGAATAATCTCAGAGTGTTAGTCACAAAGTCCTTTCTTGGGGCTGGGGTTGTGGCTCAGTAGTAGCGTGCTCGCCTAGCATGCATGAGGCACTGGTTTCGATCCTCAGCACCACATAAAAATAAAGACAATAAAGTCCATCAACAACTAAAAAAATATTTTTTWAAAAATCCTTTCTTTCTGATAGTCCCATGGCTTTTTATCTGTCTTTGGCTGAATAATGTATGTTAAAAGGTAAGCCTCTTTCCCAAAACTGTTTGTTAAGACCATAAGCAGTCAGCTGATTTCACCATCCTTACCCCATCTTTGGCAGGTTTATAAGAAATTATGAAAACTAGTCATGCCTGCCCATACTTCCTGCTGAGCTGCATGATCAAAACATAGAGATTAGATATCATTCTTCAGTCCCATGAAGGTGACACATGGGAATAGTGGTATATTCTGTTGATATTTGTTGATTAATTGTATATCATCTTCTGAGAAGCATCTGTTCAGTTCCTTAGACCATTTATTGATTAGGTTATTTGGGTTTTTGTGTGTGTTAAGGTTCTTGAGTTCTTTATATATCCTAGAGATTAGTGCTCTATCTGATGTGCATGTGGTAAAAATTTGCTCCTCAAAAAAAATCAATCATTATAAACTATACAAAACATTATAAATACAYACATGAATAACAAAATATATTTCATACATGCAATACATACTTTATCACTTACATCTCAATATTTATTGAGGTTAATAAAAATGTAAACTACTAAAGCAGTAATGATAGGAATCTTTTATATGATTTTCTTTAAAATAAAAACCAAAAGTATATGCATAAAAAAGAATGCCATCTACACATACACAATAGGTATATATTATTACATTGACTACAATAAGAAAAAATAATTGATTTTCACTAAGAATGAAGAATGTGAAATAGTTAGGATAATTAAAAACTGAAAAGCACTATGTCATTCAGGTTTTGCCATTAAATCTCAAGTTAAGATATAAACTTAACTGGAATCAGTTCTTCAATTCTTCTGATGAACCTTTTAAAACATACATTTAGATCGTCCATGTTAAATGTTTCAGGAATTGTTTGCTCCACCTAATATTAAATAATAATATGTTCATTTCAGATATTTCAGTATGAAAACAAAATAAATGAAATATCAAACTCAGCAACTAATGAAGCTGCTCTTGAAAAAATGCTACTCAAGATTATCAATCTTTGGAACACTACTCCTTTACGTGTAGTTCTTCATCACACAGAGATGTACTCTATCCTAATAATTTCATCTAATTTCATAGATGATATATTTGCTCAGTTAGAAGAATCTCAAATCTTACTTGCAACAATTAAAGGATCTCCCTATCTCGAACCCATTAAGGTAAATTTTATGGCAAAGATAAAATGTTTTTATTCTCTACAGTTTCTCACTTTAAGTAATTTTTGCATCCTACAGTTCTGCACTTGCTTTTAAATTACATAAGTCTTTCATATGCTTAAATAGAAGTGAGAATGAATATTTAATAGTTTGAATACTAAAAGTAATTTTATGGGAACATTAATTATTCATGAGGAAGTGTCAGAATGTTTAATTGGGACAGAAAAGATAAATTTAGATCATATAAAAATATGACCCTACAAGCCATAACTTTTTACCAGCGGTGTTCAGTATATCCTGATAATTCTTCAGTGAGTAGCCACACGTAAATATCTAAAAAATCATTTTAAAACTTCAAGAGATTCAATAAGATGTGATAATATAAATATTTAATAATAAAATTAATAGATCATATATATATACATAAATCTATATAAATATATTGACATATAGAGTTACAGAGAATGTATACACTGAACAAATGGAAATCACATTATTCATAAATACACAAACGTTTAGAGAAAGTGTCAGTTAGGTGGGCCTTAGAGAGAAAACTCAATGAATTACAAAGAAGGGATAAGTAATAGCTTACATGGTCTATCAATGTGGAACAAAAAAAAAATGAGCCACAGAAAAATAGCAAAACAACAACAAACAAACAAAGAAAAAATACAGAAAAATTAAAAAATAAAAATAACCACTTAGATGGGTATGGTGGCACCCATGTGTAATCTCAAGTATTTGAAGATGGAGGCAGGAGAAACATGAGTTTGAAGTCAAGATGGAAAACAGCAAAACTTTGTCTTTAAAAAAAAATCTGAATATGCAAGAAATGTAATCCAATTTTTTTAACTTAGAAATAAGCAACAAGGAGAAAATTACATATTAAGCCTTATGACAATTGAAAAGAGCCCTATGAAAATGAATATTTAGAGCATTAAATGCCTTAATTAAAAAGTAAAAATAAAGTTAATAAATGATAAATTAGACACATTTGAGAAGCTGGAAATTCAAGTAATTCCTTGAAAAATAGAAAGTACTAAAGCTCAATCAAGAAGAAATAGATATCTAGGTGTGGTGGCACRTGCCTGAAATCCCAGTGGCTTTGGAGGCTGAGATTGGAGGGTCACAATTTCAAAGGCAACTTCAGCAACTTAGTGAGGCCCTAAGCAACTTAGTGAGAACCTGTCTCTAAATAAAATATTAAAAAGGACTGGGGATGTGGCTTAGTAGTTAAGTGCCCCTGGGTTTAATCCCCAGGAAAGACAGAAAGGAAGAAAGAAAGAAAGAGAGAGGGGGGAGGGGAGGGAGGGAGGGAGAGAGGAAGAAATTACTCGAATTGTCCTCTATTTATTAAAGATATTGAAATTATAGGTTAAAAATCTGCCCAAAAAGAATTGTCTGATCCTAGATGGTTTTACAACACAATKGAAGAAGAAAAATACCAGTTTTATATTAATTCATAGAAAATTGTAGAGAAATAAATCCTTCCTAACTTATTATGTGAGGCCAGCATTACTATAATATCAAAAGCAGACAAATATATAATAAGAAAACCACAGAACAGTAACTCTTTTGAACAGAGATACAAAAATTCTAAACAATATATCAAAAACAAGTCTATCAATATTTTTAAAAATAGGATGTATTAAGACATGCAGAATTGGTAAATAAAAATATCAATTGGTAAATAAAAATAATCAATGTAATTCAGCATATCAAACCTAAAAAAGAAAGCCATTGATTTTGTTAATACATGCTGAGAAAACATTTATCATATCAATATCCATTTCTGATTTTAAAACAAATTAGGACTAGGAAAAAAAACACAGAGAAAGGACATCTATAAAAACATCATGCTTAAATGGTGAAAGAATGAACACTTTTTATCTCAGAGTATTTGACATTTTACTTAAGGGTCCTGCTCAATATATTAAAGCAAGAAAGAGATGTAAAAGTCATCCACATTGGAAAAGAAGTAAAATATTCTTTATATTCAGATGATGATTACCTATGTAAAAAAATTTAATGAAATCTTTTTAAAAATAAACCAAACTCATTTTAGCAAGTTTGCAAGACTTTAATAAGAAGCTAGATGATTAATACCACATAGTTTTCAAGATGTATTATAAAACCACAATAATCAAGAGAGGGTTATATTTATATAAGATAGATACACAAATAAATAGAACAGAATAGAGTGTACAGAAATAGACCCACATAAATATAGACAACTGATTTTCAACAAAGGTACAAAAATAATTGTTAGTAAAAACAATTTTCTTTTGAAGAAATAGTGCTGGCACAACTGTATAATCATGCAAAAATAAAAAAAAAAGTCATATCTTACAGCCTACACAAAATTTAACTCAAAGATTATGGACCAAATGTAAAACCTAAAACTAAAAAAATTTTGAGAAGAAAACATAGGAGAAACAATTTTGTTGTCTTGTTTTAGGTAGATTTCTTTAATATAACACCAAAAGCACTAACCCACAGAAGGAAAATTTAAAACTGTATTTTATTAAAATTATTAAAAATTTACTCTTCAAAAGACATTGTTCAAGGAACAAAAATGCAAGCCACAAACTAGCAGAAAATATTAGTGTGTATSTGTTAAAGGATTTATATAGAGATTATATAAAGAACTCTCAAAATGCAATCATAAGAAAACAAAACAGCCCAATAAGGAAATGTGCCAGAGATTGAAATACATATATGGAGGGGAAAAAAAACACAGAAAGATGCTTAACTTCATTACTTATTAAAAATACGATAAAGTAAAAATGAGATACTTCTACATGTGTGAAGAAATAACTAAAATTAATAAGATTGATCATCCCAGTATTTGGTGTGGATGTAGAGGAACTAGAGCTCTCCTACACTACTCTATGGATTGAAAAATATTAATTTCAAAATATTCTTTAAATTTTTAATGAGTTTATATTTATTTATGTGACCCCCTATTAATAATTTTCTCTATGTCAGTGATTGGTAATGAGCTTTGATTTCAGTTTCTGGTATATGACTCTTAGAGTAATTTTATATATTTAGATTTGCAAGTGTATGTGTTTTCTTTTATCATTGTAGGATCTTGTGAATGAATGGGATCAATACCTTAAACTCTTTTCTCATACCCTTGAGGTATGGATGAACTGTCAAAAACAATGGCTTTATCTTGAACCAATCTTCCATTCTTTAGAAATACAAAGGTAAAAAATCAAAATATACCAAATGTAGCATGGTTGGGAATGTGTTTTTATGCAATTCTTGATAAATCATTTCTTCACTGAACAAAATAAGAGTATAGTCTGCTGAACCATTAGTTAGTTTTTTTCTTCATAAAACAGTACAAGCATCATCTTTATTTCAGAAAGCCTTTGTTCTCAATTATTGACATAAAGATATAAACAACTGGAAAAGAAGTGTTAGATATATCATTACAATCCTTAAGCCACAATATTATTTATTTTTTCGGTTCTGGAATATTAGTGTGACTTTGGTGTGAATGATGAACATGTAGTTGCATTTATACATGAATGAGAATTTCTTGCTTTGAACCAATTGGAAGAAGAAATGGCCTTGACAAATTTCAATCACAGCATTCAAATTAGTTGGCTTCTAACTTTTTTAATGATTGGTACAGACAAATGAGTTATCTAGACAGAATTTAAACTACTGACAAAATAATCGTACAATCTTCTATTATATTAACCTACAGTCATTCTGAAAGTCTTCAAAGGTGAAACCACATTATACCTAAAGAGAAAATTCTTTATGTTGCTATGACTTTGAGCCTTAAATTCAAACTTTACAATTAGTGATGCAGCTCAGTGGGAGAGCAGAAGGCAGGCACAAGGTCCTGGGTTTGATTCTTAGCACTGCAATCAATCAATCAATCAATCAATAAAGTGAACTTTGATACTACATTTTACCAAAGATTTCCTCATTAATGGAGAGATCATGCTCCTTGGTGAGGAAGTTCAAAATGTGACCAAGTTGTCTTTTTACTAAGTGTGTTTAGGTTGAAAAGGAGGCTTTTAATGAGCAGATGCTGAAGGTACCTAAACAATACATCTAAAGATAAGGAAAAAAAAAACATCAGTTATGGACTTCCCTTTAGCTAGTGAAGAATAATGGGCCTTGAAATCAGTGAGGAAGATCTGAATAAAGAAGAGGTGAGTGATAGATTCATCAGAGGGGAAAATTCTGTATGGAGAATTTATCCCCCCACTCCAAGTTAGCTGTAAGGACTGCATTCATTCCTTCCAGAGAGATTGGGAAAGATTCCAGACTAGTAGAAGGGGAGATTGAAATCTCCATGAGAGAAGTTTTACTGAGCTGCAGAAACATTTAGGGCCTATCACCCTAGATGGGGAATAGGAGAATAGTGGAAGGGTTCTCTGGAGAATTTGACATTTATTGCCTAGTCAAGCATTAGAAACAAGGGCTTGCCTCTTCTCCAGAGAATTCTGAAGTAGCCTTCGCTAGCAAAATAAGGAAGAAGTGCAAGAATTCATGATTATCGTATGCCAGTGGGTCTCAACAAAAATGRTTTTTCCCTCTAGTGGATATTTTGCAAACCCTGGAAACATTTTTAGTTATCAAAATTGAGGTGTTATTGGCATCCAGTGGGTTGAGTTCAGGTATTCTATAAAACATCCTACAATACACAGGACCCCACCACTATCACCAAATTATCTGGTACAGAATGTCAACAGTCCTGAGGAAGTTGAAAAATTCTGACAGATTTTGCAGACACAGTAGAAAGTTCCAAGCTAAAGCCATCTTGAAAGATATTGACCCTAAAGAGCTGCTGGTCAGAACAAGAGATTACCAGAATTATACCACTTAGAACAGGAGCTTGAAGAGTGATTGTAAGAGGTCAGCAGGGAAAAGAAAGAAAATTAAGGGCAAGGTAGAGGTTCCTGTTGAGGTGTCTCCAAAACCCCAGTGATATTCTCCATAAATACTTGCCATTCCAGAAAGCATTCAAGAAGCAAAAAAGAACTCAAAGTCACACTAACTCATAAAAATTAAAAAGACCTTTATTCCTCACTTCAACTTCCAAGCCATGAAGAGCTTGAATCAGGTTGGGGCTACAGGGATGGGAGTAGAAAATATAAGTGATCAGAGAAGGTGAGAAGCAAACTCAACTTTTGAAGGTACTTCCCTCAGTTAACCTCAACAACAACAGAAATAAAACTCAAATTAATATATTAATGGATTGTCATGCCACATATAAGTGTTGCCTTTCTTTTCCAATGTGTAAAAACCATGATAATAATCCGTAAAGTAAAATTTCTACACCAAGGCCGACACCTGTATTACATTTCCTTATTCTCTAAGATTAGATAATCTTTAACAAAACTTCCAATTGTATTATGTACACCTCTATGCTCTTGCTCTTAGAAAAATGTCCTCTCTGCCTTCTCCTCACATCAAAGCTATATTCCTTCAAAACCCAGATTGCTTCTCTAAAATGTCCACTAGTTATTTGTGTTAACTTTCTACCACTGTGACAAAATGCCTGAGACAATCAATTTATAAAGAGGAAAGGTTTACTTTGGCTTATGGTTTCAAAGGTTTTAGTCTATGRTTACTTGGTCTTGTTGCTATGGTTAGGAAATACATTGTGGTGAGAAGCAAATGGTAGAGCAAAGCTGCAATCAGAAAGCAAAGAGAGAGAGGGGAGGAAACTGAGGCACAAATATCCCTTTTTAGGGCACTCCCCCATTACATAACTTTCTCCCACTAGGCTCCACCTCCTAGAGATTCTACCACCTTTCAATAGTGCCATAATGGGGGCCAAGGGGAAATTCAAAATCAAAATTATTGCACTCTTTATTTTTATTACATTTCTTAGAACACAAACTGCTTCTACTTACTTGATGTAGAACTTGTTATATCTACTTCCCACTACACATTAAATATAATCTTGTTATCGACACTTGTAGTCTAATTTATCTTGTTTTCTTACCATATATATCACTTGTATATAATAGATAATAAGATATCTTTAATTAATGATTGATCAAGTAAAAGAAAACATACCAAGCTTGTTTCATAAATTTACAATATTCTATGGCAAATTATTTTTAGATTTTAATTATAGCAGCTTCAAAAATAGTTACRTCTAATTCTATTTCTAAAGGCAGCTTCCAGCAGAAACAAAACTTTTCTCTGAGGTGCTCTCCCTATGGAAAGAAATAATGTCAAAAATACACTGCAAACTGGAAGCTTTGCAAATAACCATCTCAGCAGGAATCCTTGAAGTTCTGCAAAATTGCAATAGACATCTTGAGCATATAAAGAAAAGTCTAGAGGTAAAACTATAGCAATCCTAAAATGAGACCTCATTTAAATCTACAAAACTAATGTAATACACTGCAAAAACAAATTCCAGTGAAGACTTTCTCCTTAACTTTAGCTACCAACAGTTTTTTCAATTCTCATAATCTATAGTGTTAATGAAAATACTATCAAAAGAAAAAAATGGATGGGCTAATCTAAAGGATACTCATGCAAATTACCAAACTTTTGAATGCCCAGGTTTCCCACTGTTTAAATTGAGAATGACAGTGCCCCCKGTGCTAAATGAGATAATACATCTACAGCACCAAGAGCTAACACAAAGTACTTAAAGAAAGTTAATTATTTTATTAACATTACTATTATTATTATTAAGTTGATAAGTTCAGCAAAAGTTGAAATAGAATACTTTGATGAGCTTATAAATTACTGATTCCACATATTCTTTTTTAAAAAATATATTTATTTTTTTAAGTTTTAGGTGGACAYAATATCTTTATTTTATATTTATGTGGTGCTAAGGATCGAACCCAGTGCCTCGTGCATTCTAGACGAGCACTCTACCACTGAGCCACAACCCCAGCCCTGATTCCTCATATTCTTAAATTGCCAGAACATTAAATCATCAGCTGGATTCATATCCTTAAATATTGGGTCTTCGTWTTTGAGATTCAAGATGCATGTGTTCACTTCATTTCATAAACCAAGTTTTTGTTCCAGCATTGTTTGTTTTTCTTTGTTGAACACAACTCACAGTGGTAGTGACGACTCCTGCAGACTACCCCTAGGTAGTCACAGCCTCTAGAAAGTTCTAGAGGATCTCTTCTGTACAAATTCATGCTCTGGGGTAGGCAAAAAAGCTGTGCCCAGAGTGATAAAGTTTACCAGACAATCTTTGAGATAAGAATTTCAATTATTTCTGGCACATCTTTGGATTATATCTGAAAATCATTACAAATCACTTATCTTTAATTTCTTCATGGATTGAATGCCTGCTTTATACCAGGCACTACTGCTGTGTGCTTGGACTACAAAGATAAAAGACATATCCCCTACTGTCACAGAACTCAAAACATATTACAGAAAAGAAAAAAATGTAAAGAACTATTGCAATGCTATGTTAAGTTTGGTAGTATGACTATATTTAAATAGGAGAAATTAAGTCTGCATGGGGGAAGCTATAACTGACCTAGATCTTAAAAGAAGTGTAGGTATTGGAGACAGAGGTAGTGGCTCAGTGGTACACTGGTCGCCTAGCACGTGTGAGACCTTGGGTTTAATCCTCAGCACCACATAAAAATAAATAAATAAAATAAAGGTATTGTGTCCAACTACAAATAAAGATTAAATATTTTTTAAAATAAAGTTTAAAAAAAAAGAAGYATTAGCTAAGTAAGACTCAGAATTCAGATGGGTCGATGGGAAGAGTCTCTTAGGCAAATGGAAAAAGTACAAAGGCACAAAATCGTCTACGGTACCTTCTGATGAAAAATATGTTACAGATAAAATGTAACAAATGGGAAACTGGTAGGGAAAGATTGCATTCTCCAGGGAGTCAGGGGACAGCCAGTAAAGGGCTTTGAACATTGATTGTAATGAGTTTTTACTTTGATGAGCAGCCACTGAGGAATTTTAAATAGAAGAATGAGATAATTTAATTCAGAAATATCTTTCTGCGAAAAAGCATAGAGTATGGATTGGACATTGTCTTAGTTTGTTTTATTGTAAGAGAACACACAAGACTGGGTAACTTAAAGTGGAAACATTTAAATTTAAATGGAAATCTATTTTGCCTCTTGGCTCTGGAAGCTGGAAGCTGGGATTCAAAAGCATGGCATTAATATCTGGCAAGGGCCTCCTGCTTCTTCACCTCCTGGCAGAAAAGTGGAAGGGCAAGTGAACAGGAACATAAGAGCTAAAACACAAAGGGAAGCCCGGGTGGTAGCTAATCTAGTCCCAAGGAGAGCAGGAATTCACTCACTCCCAGGAGAATTAACCCAGTCTCCAGAAAGCAACATTGACCCCTTCCATGAGTGGAGACCTCATGACTTCTTAAGGGTCCCATCACCTCTTGCCACCATCACATTGGAAATCCAATTTCAAAATGAGTTTTAGAGGTGACAAAACATTGATGTGCTAGTGGGGACAATGTATTCATCTATTTTTCATCACTGAGATGAAATACCAGAGGTTGTGCACTTATAAAGAAAAGGAATTTATTTTGGCTCATGGTTCCAATCTGAGATCAGGGGCCACCTCTGGTGATGGCCTTCTTGCTGGCAGAATCCCAAGGCAGCATAGGGCATCATATGCTAAGAGACAAGGAGTACACATGTGTGCCTGTGCATTTCTKATGGTCTTTCAATCATGGGGGCTCCATCCTGATAACCTCATCTAAACCTAATCACCTCCCTAAACAACACATTCAGAATAAGTTTCCATCCTCTTCTTAACTCCTCACAATGGGGATTAAATTTCAGCAAATGGAGCCTTGGGGAACACACTCCAACCTTAGCCAAACCATAGCAGGCAGTGGAAATGGTTATTTAAAATCCAAGTAAAAAGTCTAGAAATGTTGGGCAGCTAACATAATGCTGTGGTGAGAACGAAAGAAAGTGGAGCCAAGAGCATTGGATGGGTAAATTGAGGATAAAATAAAGATGCCCCAGATCATGTCTAGATTTACAACTTGGCCAACAGGGTGGAAGATAATCATATTAGAGAGATAGGAGCAGAAGAGGAAGAGGCTTGTGTGGAAGCAAGTAAGTTTTGTTTACACTCTAAATCTAATAGTTGTGGGACATTCAGGTGAACACCTTCAATGGGCGATGGGGTACAATAGCTCCTCCTTATCTGCAGTTTCACTTTCCATGGTTTTAATTATTCATAGAGTCTAAAACTACAAATGGAAAATTTCAGAAATAAACAATTCACAACTTTAAATCATGAACCATTCTGAGCAATGTGATGAAATCCCACACCATCCTGCTTCATCCCGCCTGGGTTTTGAATCATCCCTTTGTCCAATATGCCCACAGTTTGTGTGGTCCCTGCCCACTAATCACTTAGTTGCCACTTAGTTGTATCACCTACAGATAAGGGGATATAACTGTATATTAATCTAGGGTAGAGAGTAATGATCTGAGCTGAAAAGCAAATGGGTATGTATCAAATAGCTCAAGAAGAATAAAACGAGTGAAGAGTGATGAAGATGGAACTCAAGAGATGTCAAAATTATGGTATAGAGGTGAAAGGGTCTCTTGAAGGAAAATGATTAAGAAGTAGCCAAGAGACAGAAGAAAAACAAGCAAAATTATAGAGGTCAAAGGGCAAGTTAAAAATAAAAACAAAAACAGTAGAGGCAACAAACCCTTGAAAATGTCACTCCCTGTCAATTTGGTAATAGTAGTGGCCAGATGGCAGGCAGAGTGTGAATTGACTGAGAGAATATAGCTTTTGAGTTAATAAACTGTCTTTTCAAGAACTTTAAGAACTTTATATAAAGAAGAGATGGGCAAGTAACAGTAGCTAGAAGAAAGCAAAGGGAAAGGGAGGGCTTCCTGTACTTTTTTGTGAGAGAAATTTAAGGTGGAGGCCTATTACAAGGGAGAGATGGAAGACAGGGGGTAATAAAGAAAACAAGGTATTTTAACCTGGCGTAACTGAATGCCTTTTTCTCTGAAAAGAAGGCAAGACTTAAGGCTAGCGTGTAGTTGTGAGAGAGGTGGTGGGAAGTGTAGGAATTCTCWGTACTGTAGAATGAGAGGTCATTTGTGAAATGATGACTAATTTTCCAAGGTGATAATTTCAAATGTAGGGAAAGGAGCAGAAAGTGGGAGCATGCAAAAGCAATGCTAATAACACCAAAATCCAGGGCTTTATCAATGATCCATAATGAAATGGTGTATGTGGGGTTTTCATTTGTTTCTGTTTTAGTTGGGATTTTTATTTATTTGTTTTGCTCTGTTAAAAGTCTGTTAGCAACTCGAGTATATCTTTAATTGAGTATGTTATGTCATTTTGACTGATACTACCACATCTATTATACTATACTTTTAATGTCATGGTGACCGTGTGTAAATGTAGTCCAAGTGTGGATGGGATTCATATCATGATTGGACATATATTCTGAGTTACATTTCTTTTCATTCCGGACAGGATTACCTTGAAATCAAAAGAACGATTTTCCCAAGATTTTACTTTCTTAGCAATGCTACACTTCTTGATATTCTAGGTGGCAGTGGAAATCCTGAGTCTGTACAGGTAACAACACTATTCTCTGTTCAGCAATATTATTTCTTGACCAGATCAGGATTTTATGTTACTGACATTTGTTTCTGGTTCACAGCCCCATCTTAAGAAATGTTTTGAAAACATAAAACGAGTGTTGATATGGAAACAAGAAATTGGCCCTCCTGCTGTAAAAATGCTCATATCTGTGGAAGGAGAAGGTCTTGTGCTGCCAAAGTATGATAAATATCCTAAAACTAAACATTTAGGTCCCATAACACCTAGTAATTTCAAAATCTCTTTGAATTCTCTGATATTTCATAGAAGTTTGCCAAGCAAACTATCTTCAAAGATAATATTTTTCCATCAATACACTTTTACCTTTCGATACTTTCTATAGTACATGTTCTTCTCACTTTAGCTTTAATTAAAAGTAAAAAAAAAAAAAAAAGTAATCTTCAAACTCTTGAGAGCTTTCTAATTTTCACCTGCCTTTTGCTCCATCATTGAATTCTGCCTTAAGTTCTCAACTCTCTTTAGCACTTGCCTTTTTCTGGATGGGAAGGTTTACTGTTTGGGGTCATTGTTGTTTTCACACACCTCTGGTTTCATGGTGGTGAGCTCCCAGGCAATGAGCTAGGCCCTTCCTTGATACTGGTCTAACTTGACAGCCCCAGTGAGGGCTCTCTAACTGCTGGTTTGTGGCCTCCCATATAAAGGTCATTTACAAAATTCTGTGCCAGGCCTTTTTATCCACAAAAGCCCCTAACCGTATCCTACTATTTAAAAAAGATCCAATAAAGTGTCTGRCTAGCTCAATCAGTAGCACGTAAGGCTCTTAAAAAGATTCAGTGAGGCATACAAAGATGTTTTTTAATACAATTTATCAATCTCATACATTCATATTTTACTCAGAATATAACTATTGTGTTTATTCATGGTTTTGATATCAGAATTTCCTAAAGCTAGGTAATATGTTTTCTGCTTAATTTTCTAAGTAAAAATCTAGAAAAGCCAGAAGATATAGAATTATAGCCTCTTAGCCCATGATTATTATAAATGTTCATATAAAATGAAGTCTACAGGCTTAAACATGAATCAAAATAATATTCATAATATTATAATATTTAATGATTTTCTTCTTTTTTTTAAATGATTTTCATAATTTTTTTAAATCATAGGAAAATTCGTATAAGAAGTGCTGTAGAACAGTGGCTGGTAAATGTAGAAAAAGCCATGTTTGATGTGCTAAAAAAGTAAGTACAATTTTTAAATCTTAAAACTTTATAATATATAGGTATATATCTCTCTATATATATATGTATGTCTATGTCTGTATTAAACTTGGTTAGCTACTAATGTAGGTAGGAAATAACCAGAGMATTTATAAAGTAAGGTCCCTTATAAAATGAGTTTTGATAGAGGATGGTGGCACGTGACTAAATGAAAAATAATAATTTTACAATGTAAATATAAATTTGAGAGTGTAATCGTGATGACATTTGAACAGTTTTATGTGTGTTGAGTTTTGTGTGTATCTGAAAACTGGCCAGGATCTGAACTCCACCTCTGCCTCTTTTCAAAAGATTCAATGTCAGGCAGCCTCCAATTTCAGTCCATATTGCTACTTTGCACTTCTGTTTCATTTTACTTCCTTGGACTCTGTACTTGGTTTAGTCCTTTTAATGTTGTCTTTTTATATTTTAATCTATCACTTCTTACAATGAAAAAGGTACCTCAGAGTGTGAAATTTTAAAACTAATTTGATTAGAACAGTCTTATTATATCTCTTTTTAYTTAAAAACACCTCTATTATGTATGCTTCAAGAAAAATTTTCAGTGCCAAGACTCTGCTGCTTCCTAAGTAAGGTGTTATGATTTGAATTTTAAAATGTCCCCTAAAGAGCGCAGGTGTTAGGCAATGTAGCAATGTCCAGAGGTGAAAAGATTGGATTCTGAGAATTGAAACCTCATCAGTGGATTAAACCATCAATGGATTAATAAATTAATGGATTACTAGAAGGTAACTGTAGATAGGTGGGGTAGAAGGAAGTAGGTCACTGGGGGCATGACCTTGGACTATATCTTGTCACTTGGCTTCCTTGCTCTCTCTCTCTCTCTCTCTCTCCTAGCTGCCATGAGCTAAGAAGCTTTCCTCCTCCATTAGATTCTGCCTCATGGAAGCCCCACAGCAAAGGAGTTAGTTAATCATGAATTGAACCTSTAAAATCATGAGCCCACTATGAACTTTTCTTCCTCTAAGTTGTTCTTGTCAGGTGTTTTGGTCACAATAATGACAGACTAAGATACAAAGTGATTTAAGAGCCAAACCCTCCAGCAAGGATCATAAAAGTTGGAGCGCTATATGTATGATACAAACCCTTCACTCCTCAGGAAGAAGGTGGAAGTTCAAGATTCCTTCCTGATTATAAGATTCTAGGCTCAGAGTTGGGTTTGTGTTCATGTGTCTCCTCTTTTCCTACCCGTTATAATGTGTATATTTTCTCAGTAGTCTGGTGTGTAGGATTCTTTCAACTAGTTTCTATCAAAACAAATGYTGTTGGCATATATTAAGTTGGATCTTAAATAAAACTGTCTGGATTTTTTTTTATAACTTATATCCTCTCCCTTATAATTAATTTTAAAGTTAGTGCARGACTTTACTGTTAAATTCATCTGAGGGTTTCAGACCAATATTCAATTTTGTAGAAATTATTTTAAATACAAAACATTTAAATACATATTTTCCATTGATAGTATTTGCAATCCAAAGCTAGTATATCTTCTTCTGATTTAATATATTTTTACCATTCCCAGAAATTCAATAACCTCATTAGAAAAGTATAGCTAATGTTWAAGAGGAAGTTAAGGAATATTCATTAAGCATGGATTAAAGCTCTGTTAATTCTATTTGGTACCATACAAATGCCTAAATTAGAACAAAACAATCAGAGATCTTAAAGAAAAATTCTCCTGTGGCCATGCCACACTCAATTATTTAATGGCCATGATCAATGATTAAATGTAGGTAATATAAATACATTTTTAATAGATTTGTGAATCAAGGAGTTGAAGACTGGACCCACCAAAATTTTTCCCTGTGGGTGGTATCTCATCCAGGACAAGTGGTACTCATTGTGGTAAGTTAATATTACTTTGATATACATATATAATATAATATAATATAATATAGATCATGCTACATTGCCAAATAAGTAATATTTGGAAACTAAATCACTAAGAAGGTTACTGAGCTGGGCACAGTGGCATTCACCTATAATCACAGTAATGTGGGAAATGAAGTCAGAAGGATTGCAAGTTTGATGACAGCATAGGCAACATATGAGATTCTATTAAAAAAATGGAAGGGATATAACTCAGTGGTAGAATGTTCCTGGGTTCAATCCCCAGTATTGCAAAAAGGAAAAAAAAAGTATACTGATATTTGTTTCTTACTTTGAAATGCATTAAATATGAGATGGACAGATGCATAAATAAATGATAAAGTAAATGTAACAAAGTTATACAGAATATAGAATATAGGTGGTGGGTATATAAGTATCACTGTTTAATTCTTCAATTTTTCTATTGTTTAAAAATTTTCCAAGTATAACATTGAAACTAAATCATGAATTATTTTTTGCATTATATTACTTTTTGATTGCTATCATTAAGAAGTTACTAAAATTTGGTGACTAAGATTAAGGCGACAGCAGGGCTATGTTCCTTGTGAGAGATTCTTGAGGAAAATTTATTTCTTTTCCTTTTCTGGCTTCTAGAGGTCTCTAGCATTCCTTGGCTTATGGTTTCTTTCTCTGTCTTTAAAACCAGCAGTGTTACATCTTTCTGGCCATTCTTTCATAGTCATATTGCCCTCTGCTCACAGATGGAAAAAAAAATGTCRTTATTTTGGACCCACTTGGATAATCCAGAATAATCCCTCCATCTTAAGATTTTTAATTAAATTGTATCTTCAAAGTTCCTTTTGCCATGTAAAGTAATATGTTCACAGGTTCTGGGGATTAGGCATGGATATCTTTTAGGAATCCACTATTTTGCCTACTCTGTATATTTGCTAATGTTAGTTATTGTTTTTCTGGAACTCAAAAAAGAAATAGAAGGAAAATTAGGAAAGTGTGATATCGACAAAGCTAAAATTGGCAGTTTTCTTCAGAGGTAGAGGTAGTGGTTGAAACTTGGAGAGGGGTAAAAATTTTCCCAGCAGAATGGCTACAATAAGAGCGATAAAGAAAGACACAAGGGACATCAACATTTAAGGAGTAGGCAAACGACAGGGAGTCTATGAAAAAAAAGTGGCCTAATGGGAAAAAAAAAAAGTAAAATTTAGAGTTGTCAAGGAAGCTGAKACAGAAGAAAGACACATTTTTGCTTGATTCTCTAATTTTCTCTAGAAAAAATGTGTCTAGTCATAATTTTTAAAGGCTCTGGAGATGTCTGAAAACTCTATTAAATYTGTCAATTATCAGGGTCAATATGAACCTTGGAGAGAGTGTTTCTTCTGAAGCCATATTGCCCCAAGTTACCATTATCAAGTATTTTTGAAACATACTTGACTATTTAGCTTGAAAACAAATCATATCTTAGAATGAAACAGACATTATTACTTTATGTATATATGTGACTGCATGAYCAATATGATTCTACAACATATATACTCAGAAAAATGAGAAATTATTTTTTTTMATTTTATTTATTTTTATGTTGTGCTGAGGATTAAACCCAGTGYCTCACATGTGCTAGGCAAGTGCTCTGCCACTGAGCTACAACTCCAGCCCCGGGTTAGCAAGGATGGTGGAATGTGATGGACATAATTATCCAAAGTATATGTATGAAGACACGAATTGGTGTCAACATGTTTTATATACAACCAGAGATATGAAAAATTGTGTTGCATATGTGTAATAAGAATTGTAATGCATTCTGCTGTCATTTATTTTTTWAAAAAATCAATTAAAAAATGAGAAATTATATCCCATCTATGTATGATATATCGAAGTACATAAATGCCTTCTATTGTCATGTATAACTAATTAAAACAAATTTTTAAATTAAAATAAATAAATAAATCATATCTTTTTATTTTGCCTTGACCCACCATAATTTTCTTTGTTATGATAATCTGGCATTGTACACACAAATTATGATTATCAAATCTTCCTGTTCCTTTTGCTATCCGTTTGACTGAATGTTAACTCTTATATCTCAAACTGAATGACTTGTTTAAACTGTTCATGACAAAGGTGGCAAAATTACAATGAATTGATCTGCACATTTCCGCAGTTTAACAGAAATTCAAATCATTAGATCTGCTCTACTGAAAAGATTTTTCTCAGATCCCTATGCTTCAAACATGCTTAACAATAAGAAGCCATCTGTATTCTATTTCCAGATGTCCTTTATGGTAGATTTCAGCTTCAATCGTTGCATGTACTTTTGCCAAAAATTTTCCCACATCTGCCTTAGCAGCTGCTAATTTCCCATCCCATGAATGCAATTCACAACTCCCTTTCCTCTTGTCTTTTGCATGTGTTACATGACTAGGAGTTGTCTTGCAATGAATGTAAAAAGACATTGTAAGAGGGTGGGTATAATGAGATGTCTATATGAATTGACCACTGAGAAAATTTCAATATGGATTTATCCAAGAGAGAGTTATAAGTCATTCCTCTATAAATAAACAGATAAATACAAATCTAAAATCTGGTTCACAATCTCCCTCACCATGGATGTTCTCACCTGAGGCTGTGCATTCTGAATAACTGTTTCAAGGACAACAGTACAGTGGCATTTGACCAGACTCTGCTGTGACATGACCTTGACTATAGTTCCCACAGTCTGTCCTAAATTCTTACTCCTGCCCACTTCCCAAGCCTCAGTCTCTAGGTTTCTGTTGATCTGATGATTATGAATCCATTACATCCTCTTAGAAAGTCACTTAGTTTCTGTTGCATGCAACCCAGAATGCTGACTGATGTACCACATTTCCTATCCTGTATCTTCCTATCTGGCTTTGGAAAAATCTCACAATGATATGTGGCCTCTATGCTAACTTTTCTCTTATTTATAACTTTATCACTTKATAGCTTTGTTTATGTGTTTCTTGGGCACTTCAAATCCAGTATATCCACAAATGAATTCATTATGTGCCCCTCATCCACATGTTCTTTCTCCAGAAGGTACTTAGTGAGTGACTGGAATCACAGTTTACCCAGTTGTACAGGCCACAACCCTATTRAGCTCTCCTGATATCTTGCCCTCCTTTATTTCCAGAGTCAATCTTCCCTTAATCTAGTTGCATTCTTAAACAGCTCTTATGTGTATGGGAAGAGTAAATGCGAAAAGATTCATCAAATAACAAAAATTATACATATTCCTGACAACTACAATTATAGGCAATGTATTCTACAAATATTATTTTTTAGTTTAATGGAGAAAACAACACTAATTTTATCTTGGAGATTTCTACCATTGTTAATGTCCTCAGGTTAATTACAATGGGTCAAGAATATAAAATTTAGAAAGTATAAGTAAATAAGGTCCCCATAAGTATCAATAAAAATGTAATCTTTCTCTTTCAAATACATATAAATGTTTAAGCTTTTGCTTTTGTACACAAATGCATTCATGCATACACATACCACATAYACTTCATGAAAACTTATCCTTCATGTTTTAACATAAAATGTATGTTTTGATTAATGTATGTATTTTTTTTCAGAGTCATATCATGTTCTATAATGATTGTATCAAAAGTTTTATGAGTTCTCACTCAAAAGAAAAGCTGGAACAAGTCCATTCTAATGTGATGTGTCATCTAGAAGAGGCTGCAGAGCTAGTAGTGTTAAATACTAACACCTCTCGAACAAAAACTGCACTAGGAGCATTTCTTACTCTTTATGTCCACTGCAGAGATATTGTGATGGATCTACTACTTAAAAATGTCTTCAATGCAGAAGATTTTGAGTGGACGAGGTAAGTAGATATAAACTATAACTATACACATAATGTCTCACATATATATCTTTAGGTAAATCCATTCTCTAAATTTTGTCAAACTCAAGTTTTAATTTTCAGGGATTTGCTACCCTATTCCTTTCTTATCTCTCTTTTCTACTGTCCCTTCCCCTGGTTTTTACTTCTTTCTGCCTTATCTTTCTGTCTTCATTATCCTCTTTTGCAGTTGCATTTTCTCTTTTGCCTCTGAGCCAAGGAGCAGTTTTTTAATAGGTAGTGCCTCCTCTTTTCCCTGTGCTGTCAATTCTGGAACAGACTAGATTGRATAAACAAATTGGACAACATTTCCAGCTACCTCCCCAACTCAGAACCTCCTTTTCTCCCACCTAGAGTCAAAATATGAAATATGAAAGTATAGAAAAAGAGAGCCACTACCTTTGAGCATAAGATTCTTATACTAAATGTGAAGTCTCAAACTTTTAAATGAGGTTACTTTCTAGAAGTTTTCTGGTTTTGCTTATGGTTGTATGTTTTCTCAAGTTAAGACTTTTGAAGGTGGTTGTAGTGTGACCATTTAAAAWTTTTCTTTTATTTGAAATTTCATTTTAAAAATGTACTTGCTTTTGAAAGATTTCTTTATAATCTACCCTGTTTTATCAGAAAGGATTTATGAAAGAGCTTATAAGGATATAAAAATGACTGCATGATAGCATAGTGCAATGAAAGAAGAAAAACAAAGGTCAAAAAYAGCACCAGTGAAGACATTTAGTCATTCTGTATTGTGCCTGCCTCCACTTTATAATTCAAAAACCAGAACATCACTCAGCTATTAAAAATGTTTTGAGATGATTTTTCCCATGACATTGTTTTGATGTTTTTAAAAATATCAAAACTAAAATTTATTCCAAAAATATTCTTTCATATGTGTTTATTTTGAGAAATAATGAGTCAGTACTGATGAAAACATAAAATAGAGTAAAAAATGCATACTGTAAAGTTATAAGTGGATCACAGATTGARTTCAAAGCCTGGAGAGGAGAAAATTGATCATTAACTACACAACTCATGTGTTCATAGGATAAATACAAATCAATTTCTCCAAAGTTCAATTATTTATCCTTAAATGATATTATTAAAATTAATATAATAATTAATAATGTTAATATTAATTAATATTTAATGTTATACTTAAATAATAATAGAGGACTCTCAAGTACTCTAATGAGGATCCAGATTCAATGAACAATGCTTTCAATTGCATTCTTATTGGAAACTATAGTAAACTGCATAGAGATGGTTCTTACATAAATCCTCCATTTAGGCTGACATCACACCAAAACAGCAAGACTCACCAAGGTCATTTGCCTCAGAGGGAAGAGTGCTCTTAAGTTTATAGTCTTCTGTTGTGATTGGCAAAAGATGTGACTTACACAGTCAAAGGGGAGAAATAAAGAATGTCCACGCTGCTTCTGCCTTTTTCAATGCTTTATTCACTCAAATCACTTAATACAATTTCACTCTATTGGTTCTTTTTTTTTTTTTTTTTTTGAGATTGGAAACACTTTAGGCTCTTAATCAAGAAAACAACAATCCTTAATGCTAGGCACTGCAATAGACATAATCAATTCACAGCAAACAATTCTAGATTAATTAGTTCTAAGCACTGCAAACACTCTTAATCATAACAGGCTAATAACAGACATTCAATCTGTGTGCTAAATTCAAGTGTCAGATCAAAAGTCTCAGGCCTTAGGCTTTAAGTCCAGCAGATRCACACTCACTCAGACCATGGTGACCAGGTCCAGAACCAAGGCAGGCTTCTCCTGGGGTGGAGCTGATGGCCAGTTGAGGAGAGGGACGTAGGGAGAAGTGGCTGTGGAGTTTGAGAGAGTTGAGGACCAAGCAGAGGATCAGGCAAAAGGAGGTCAGTCCAGGTCCTCATCAGGCTCTCCAGCTTGTGAGCCTCAGTATTGGCTGGCTGAATGTCTGTTCATTTGCTCTATTATTATACTAAATTTTGGGACTTTTGACACCCCTTTCAATCCTTATAAGCTACCACTGGATTTCTCAGTGACATCATTTACCCTGGGGTTAAAAAACTGGTCTGACGCTCCCCACCCTGATCTTTTTGCCTTTCCTCTTATTGGAAGACAGCCTGCCAGAGGCTTCACTCTGAGTTTATCAGGGTTGGGGGAAGTGACTTGTTTGTGCCTGAGGGCTGTACTGGAGGGCTCTGTTAGGTGTGCCTGGCGAGACTGCAGGTTTCAAACTGGAGTTTTTAAAATGGAGTTGCTTAGGCTCAGGCCAAAGGCCATCTTCACATCTTCCAAGTCCTAATATTTCATATCTAATAGTCATTGTCAAATTTTATGTCACTTTTCATTTATTTGGATTTCTATTTTTTAATGAATACTCCATTTTTAATCATGTTTCTGAATGTGAAAAAAATAAAAATAATTTTACCCAAATGTATGAGTATTATTAACAATATTGCTTTTAGACATTTGCAGTATAAATGGAATGAAAAGCAAAAGTTGTGTTACGTGTGTCAAGGAGATGCCAGTTTTACTTATGGCTATGAATACTTGGGCTGTACCCCAAGGTTGGTTATTACACCMCTCACAGACCGATGCTGGCTAACCCTCACAGCAGCACTACACTTGAATCTTGGAGGCTGTACTGCTGGTCCAGCTAGTGTAGGAAAAACTGAGACTGTCAAAGATCTGGCAAAAGTAAGTAGTTTCTATATCCAGAATAAAAACATCTATTTTTGATTGTTGCCTTAACTTTAATGGCATCTAAAATTTACATCATTCCTACTGCTCACATGTTCACTGCGTTCAACAATCACATCTGTTAGTTCATACAATTCATGAATTTTTGAATGCCTATTGTGTGTGAGAACTTGGGATCTCAATAAGCTAACATATGCTTTGTATTAACTTGGAGAATTACTATAGGAACTGACTGATACATAAACGATTAATATTTCTCTGTGTGTGTGTGTGTGTGTGTGTGTATGTCTGTGTGTGGGGGTAGTAAATGATGAAGGAAAAGGGTATAGTTTGTGACACTAGCATTTTATTTGTATATTTATGTAAAAACATGACAATGATACATGAATTAATCAACTATATGTAACAGTATGTATATGTTTGTACTATTTTGAGTTTTTTGAATTGCTAAATTTGGTATCTAATTCATCTTTTCATATTGCAAATATCTTCTCAAAAATTTAATAAAGACATTTGGTTACTCTATCATTTTTAATATTAGTTTTTTTTGTCATATTTTAAGAAATATATTAAAATAATATTTTTGTTTTCCAGGCCTTAGGTAAATATTGTGTAGTCTGCAGTTGTTCTGAAGATTTGGATTATAAGGTAAAGCTTAAACATATATACTCAGGAAAAAAATATTTTACACATAAAACAATTTGTTAAGAAATGAAMAAACAAGAAAAATATTTATCTTATAGATATATAGATATTAATAKAACTATAAATATCATTAATTCTTTTAAACTATTAGAATACAAATCTAGATGTAATAGAATCAAAATATTATACACTTTGCTTTAAGTTCAATTGAATTCCTTAAAACAGTGGTTTTTAAATTTTTTTGACAGTGGGATTCTATTTGTTTGAATATTTTTTGGTTATACAGGGACACAATATCTTTTTTTAAAATATTTATTTTTTAGTTGGACACAATATCTTCATTTATTTATTTTTATGTGGTGCTGAGGATCAAACCCRGGGCCTTCCATGTGCTAGGCGAGCCCTCTACCACTGAGCCACAATCCCAGCCCAGGACACAATATCTTTATTTTGTTTATTCATTTGTATGTGGTACTGAGGATTAAACCCAGTGTGCAAGGCAAGCGCTCTGCCACTGAGCCATAACTCCCTTACATTGGGATTCTTTTTAAACAAAATTTTATATGGAACATGAAGACATAAAACAATTAAGAAAGCTAATTTGTTAAGGCCCTACCTATACATTTATTTATTCAAAAGTTAATTATTAAGATCAATAAGGTAATTATGATTAATACAAAAAATTAGAACCTATATATGATAATTGCAAGTTTATGTTTGTCTTACTTTGTTTTGGTTGCAAATTATCTAGGACATTTCTAATAAGATCCTGAAGTATTTGTTATTAAATTTTAATATACTTCTGTGTCTGTTGCAAATTTAACTCAGTTTCCAAACACTGCTAATAGAGGGAAGATGGGGTTATTTTTATTTTCAGTGCTGGGGATTGAACCCAGGTCCTTGAGCATGCTAGACAAACACTCTACCATGGAGCTATATTCCCAGCTCTGCAGCTTGTTTTTCATGCTAATTATTGTCCCCCACTCTCCAAAAAAAAAAAAAAACAGTGATGAAAAAAATATCAAAATTTTGAATAAAGGCAAGATTGGATTTCCTGCTACCCATGAGAGGAACCAATTTTTGTCTCCTTCCTGGTCTGAGGTTCTCTCTTGCCTTTTCTTAATCCCTTTTTCTTCCCTTTATACAGACCTGGCAAATCTTAGGCATCTTRCATCCTGTATTCAGCCCATGAATTTGTTCAGTTTTGCTTGAAAGTGTTTTTGTTTGCTTTGCTGTTTTGTTTCAGGACTTTTAGCCTCTCACAGGACACTGTAGCATAGCATCTGGCCAACCCTGTCCTGCACCCTGACAACAGGCAAAGCCCAGTAGCATCTGCTGTGARCTTTCATGAGGCTGGCTCCAATCTAACGCAGAATCTACCTCTTGTTTCATACTAGACCTGGTTTATTCATCTGTGTTATCTACCAGCAGCACACATAAAACAATTCACTAACTCTTTTTTTTTAAAGAGAGAGAGAGAGAGAGATTATTTTTTTTAATATTTATTTTTTAGTGGACACAACATCTTTATTTTACTTTTATGTGGTGCTGAGGATGGAACCCAGCGACCCGTGCATGCCAGGCCAGTGCGTTACCGCTTGAGCCACATCCCCAGCCCCAATTCACTAACTCTTAAGGAGTCTGTGCCTGCTCTAGAAAAGGAGACACCTACTGTCAGGCAGTTTTGACCATATACTGAATGTTGTCCTAAAGATTCTTTATGCAAGGGTGCAGCTCCTTGAGCCAAATGGGAGGAGTCTGAAGTCATCATCTGTGTCCTTCTGCCAGGTCCCTGTGAGCCTCAGAATTTGCTACTTGAGGCTTAGCTTTTTACAAACAGGTAAAGTAGTTGCTTATCTGAAATCTAAGCAACCACAAAAATGCCTRTGGGGAGGAAATATGAAAGGTATTTGATTGGTTTAAGCAAGATGGGAAGAACGTATGCAACTTAATACCCCAGTAAAATTCTTCATCATAATAATTTCTGTAATCAATCTTTTTCTTTTTCTTTTTCTTTTTAAAGATAGTAGAAAAATTCTTTTTTGGACTAGTTCAGTCAGGTGTTTGGTGTTGTTTTGATGAATTCAATAGAATTGATATGGAAATTGTCTCCGTCATTGCCTCACAGATACAAACAATTAAGGCTGCAAAAGACAGCTATTCTGTCAGGTATGTGTTATTGGATGGAAAATAAGATATATATTTTGAATGGAAATTGATATACTTGTATTGTTTCTTTAACAGTACGTGGTTTTTGGAGGGKTTTTTTGTTTGTTTATTTGTTTTTTGTCCAATAAGTGTTTGGGTATTTGGTTAGTTGATTAGTTGCTTTAAAACACATATAAAAAGGAATGGCATGTACCTGGCATGTTTCCTTTGTTCAGCAAATAATGTGAAAATATATATAACTCTAATTTGCAAGCCAACTTAGAGGTATCCAAACTCTTGCTCTGAAACAGTCTCTAGAGCTACCAGGACTCTGATGGAAATATATCCWAGTTACTTTGTTTTTCAATCTTAAGTTCTCTTATTGCTTTTTTATCTTGGGATATGTCATTTAAAGAAACCAAACAAAAGTTATAAATATTTATTTCTTTAATTCTACATCCTTTTTAGAAAGGCATACTGGTCACATACCTGAAGCCTCCCACCCATCTTGTCTCATTACTCTGAATTAAGGTGCTTTTATTGAAAACCTCTGCAATAACAATTTGGATATATATATCAATTACTAATGATTAGTAATATAAGCAAAATTTTTCTCTTTAGATATTTATTAGGAAATCACCATTTACTTTACAGACAAAAATGGATTTGTGGGCTTAAAAYTTCTATTTCATTTCTAACTCATGCTAATGGATACTAACTTGTGGTTTTATTCTCATGGATTTTCTTCAAACTGTTAAAGCTGGTGTTATCAGGCCTCACAAGTTTATGGGGGGGATGGGGCGGGTGTCATAGCATCCCACATCTCATCTTCTCTCTATCTCAGCCTCTGCCAAGTTTCCCCCATTTTTGTCCAAAGTTTCCCCAGGTTTGTCCCAATTATTCTTTTTTGCAGGTTTTGACAACTCTCTTTAGTATCAACTGTCAAAAAATAAAATAAAATTTTTATTAAAAAAACCACTACAGGATTTCTCTCCATTGTCTCTACCACTGGTTCCAAATTGACATAAATACCAAGGGTTTTATTTCACAATGGCTCGAAAGTTTTAAAATGGGGAGAGGGGACACTTGGGAGGTGGGCTGTGTTCCATGCTGAAGTAGGGACTCTATGCTGAGTCCCACTCYGTTATCCAGGCACAGCTCTTCATTCTTTATGGGTCTCATTGGGTTCCTTTCCCTGTGTAAGTCTATTCATTCAGATGAGTAACTTCCAGCCTTAGATCCCACAAAGCTTCTCAGACTTCTTCAGACATGATCAAATATGTCTGAATCCCCAGCAAAGGGTCACAGTTTGGCTCAAATGAGCCTCTTACTTCTCCTCTTTCTTTTACTATTGTTCATTTCAGTATGTTCTATTTGGATTTAAATGTAACATATCCATAAGAAAGTTCCCAAATTCATTTGTAGTTTTAACAYATTTCATCCTAGAGAAAACAGTTTTAGTTATGAATGCTATAATGTCTTATAGATTTGTACTGGGTGGAAAAGAAATTCGTATCAATATGTCTTGTGCAGTCTTTATCACCCTGAATCCTGTGTAAGTATCAGTGAATGTGGTGGGAGTGAACATAGACCAAAATCTTTTTCTTAAATCTTACCCACAGATGGAGTTGTCTGGCATTGTATATATATCATAACTCTCTACTGCCCTCTGACCTCTCCCTGGTGGTTATAGGGAGTCAGGTTGGGCAGGTTCATTAAATATCTGAATACTACCTTAGTTCAGGAAATCAGAGGGAGCTGATATGAATTGTGGAATGGGGCACAGAAAGAAAAGATAACAAACCAGGCTGCTCTGTGAGATGGAAAGTACAATAAAAACCAYCTTAGCAGTGATGCATGCCTGTAATCCCAGCAGCTGGGGGAGGGTGGGGCACTGAGGCAGGAGGATTGAAAAGTTCAAAACCCAGCCTCAACAATTTAACGAGGCTCTAAGCAACTCAGTGAGACCCTGTCTCTAAATAAAATACAAAAAAGGGCTGGGGATGTGGCTCAGTGGTTGAGTGCCCCTGGGTTCAATCCCAAGTACAAAAAAAAAAGAAAAAAAAATCTTATAAACTAATATTGAGATAGAGGACACATAGAAAGCCAATAGAATGGGGGGTATATATTTTATGTGGCCCCTTATTTGAACTGTTGAAAAATGGTGGGCTTATTGTTGTTTTCTTTTCCTTTTAAGCTCTGGAGGTCGAGTAGAACTCCCAGATAATTTAAAATCTCTGTTTCGCCCAGTGGCTATGATAGTGCCCCACTATCAAATGATTATTGAAATAATACTGTTTTCATTTGGTTTCAAATCTGCAAAATCAATCTCTGGAAAGCTAGCTAGCCTTTATGAATTAGCTAGCAAACAGCTCTCACAACAGGTAAGAAACTTATTTTCTTTAAAGGTTATTATATACAAATAACTTTAAATAAGACTTTACTGGTATTGGCTGAGGAATGACCTGGGGACCATACCACATAAGTAGAGCTCAAATTTCAACATATCAAATCAAATACAAAATGCAAAATCAGTCAAGATTCCAAGCCTGCTCTCCAATATCTGGAAAGAATGATGGAACAACTATTATCTCAAATTATAGACTGCTGTCTCTATACAAGAAAATTAATATCTAGAGCAGTGTTCTCAAAATTTATTATGCATCAAAATAATTGRAGGACTTGTTAAAACACAATTGCTAGGCCTAAACCCCAAGTTTCTAATTTTATATGTCTGCTATGAAACAAAGGAATTTTCAAGAACATCTCAAGTGTTACTGACATTGCTGTTGTGAGAACCACATTTTGAGAATTATTGTTCTAGGATATGAGTATTTGTTTCTAATTCAAGATGGCTTAGGCAGATAATCACATTTCTCTTTTAAATATTCTTCCAATTCCTCTTTCCAGTTCAGAGAAAACTTAATTCAGATGTGAATAGGTTTTCACACTTGTTATTCTTTCTTTTAAGAAAGAGACTTTTGCTGGGCATGGTGGCACATGCCTGTAGACCCAGGTACTCAAGAGGCTAAAATAGGGGCATTGCTTGAACCCAGAAACTCAAGACCAGCCTGGGCAAAATGTAAGACCCCAGAGGATAGGATAGGAAAGGAAAGAAAGAAGGGAGGG